CTAGCAAGGAGATCGGGCTGAAACTATAGCTACAAGCTATCCAAGGATGGTACTATAGAATGTCACCTCAAGGTAGGCCTAGTGGCGTCATCTCTTGGTTAGGCCGGAAACTTATCAATCCACCCTCGTATTCTCAATTCCCACCAGATAAAGAACAGAGAGCTCTGACAATGAAACAAATGATTAAAGAGAAAGACTCACCCCAATCTACCACAACAAACTTTAGTGGCCAGATTCTCGTAAATTGGGATGTGCCTCCCTTTTTTTAATTTGCTCTATTTGGTAATACAAGAAAATCAAATGGGGTTCTGTGAAATTAATCCAGATAGAATTATAAAATTCAAAATTCCATATTTATGTATTTGACAAACAAAACCATTAAAGGAAGAGGTAAATTAGTTAAGAATATGTAGACTTTTGAAATGACAGTTCAGTATATGATTATTATTTTAATTCCAATGGGAAAGTCTTTATGAAGCTTCTTAAGGATTGTTGACTGTTGTTAGAATTTTAAGAGAATTTTTTTAAAAGTTAAATTATACGTTACCGTAGCTGTTCCTATAATTAAAAGAAAATAGTATTCCAGCGAGAACACTAAACTCATAAGCCTAAAATCCCTCTCACATTCTGGGCTTACTACGCTCCCTGTTCTTATACGAGCTCTCCACATAACACACGGTAAGACAGGTCCTGCTTTTATTATCCTTACCACGTCAAATAAACTTAAAATCTAAAAAAAGATGTGAGTATTAGAAAAAATTGAAAACGGTGCACTTGGATTCTGTTCTTATGCCTATCAAGTGTGTACCTACTGACATTTTAATAGATGAAGTAGAATTTTGTGTCCTTGTGACCTTTGAATTCAAGGGCTTGGATGTTTTTGTTTAAATCAATAATTTCACAAGCCAAAACCTACACGCAACTTTTTTAACAGCTCGTGTTGAATGTAATTCACATGGAGTGTATTGTTTCTTTAGAAAGAAATTCATTTCGTTGAAGTAATGTCTACGTTATTCGTGATAGCGTCGTTTGAAATTAAAAACAAGAATCCCTTTTAATCATGAGCCAAAAACAGACACTGTATTAGATGAAATGTTATCACTTTTGGCGAAAAAATGAAAGAAACTAACCACCACTCCCTTTAAACTTGACTTTATAAGTTAAGAACTACAGTAGAACCTCGATAAGATAAAGGCAAAGGGAAACGTAAAATAATTTGAGTTATTGAGGCTTTTACGTACTAAGGGTTTAAGTTTAAGCTTTAAAACTATGGATTTCCAGTGACTTGGCAAACTCTTCAACTTTTTCCTTTAGTATAAGTCCACTGACACGAATGTTTTTACATATTTCTACACTGCCTAACCACGCAAACAAGCAGTTTTCTAAATTAGAAAATTCAGCAATTCTTCGTCTTTTACATAGAAGACTTTCTCACTGCTTGCTGAGGTACGATGCCCAAATTATTCGTTTAAGTTATAGAGGGTTTTTATTTTAAGTAATAGAGGTTTTAGACTCCGAGGGGAAGGGAACACAAAATTTTATGAATTTATAGAGGTTATTACGTTATCGAGGTTTAGGTTATCAAGGTTCTACTGTATTGACTTTTTAACTTTCAGTTACTTACTAGTCCTATAAATCCTAAAAATCCAGCATAAATAACAGACGTGTTCAAAAATCTATAAGAGCACACAGTTTTGAGTGTCCTGTAATTTCGTCTTATAGATGGACCGAAAACAGTGTAGAAAGGCAATTTCATGACTAGACTCTAACAATTTGATGAAGAAAAATGTATGATTAAGGACACTTGACATTTTCAAAATACTAACCCAAAATAATCTTCTTTTTAATTCGCATTTTTCAAGAATGCTTTGCCATCTGACAGTTATGTGTTACACGTAATATTTTAGCATTTTTTTGTTAAAAACCTATCAAGTTTGAATATACGTACATTTCATGATGTGAGAGTAAATTTTAGTTGATCATAATTGTATTATATCAAGTCAAAATGAGTTCGAGCAGTAGCACGGTAATCATTAAGAGACCGGAAAGATTTTTGAAATCAAGAAATCCATCCATGTTTGGATTTTGTATTTCGTCGACATTTTGGTTATGCTGTGGCTTGCTGAATGCCGTTTTAAGCGATATTAGTCCCAGTATACAAGGTAAAAATAATGAAATATAAATCAATTTTTTAAATTAATGGTTTAACTATGCTACCTACAGGTGTATCAGTTTCCCTTCGAGCTGAAGAAACGATTTTGAGTTTGTTGTCAACCATGTTTCTATTGTATGGTCTAAAGAAGGTAAGCATTAAATTGGATCAGAATCGTAATTCATAAATCTAAAATGTTACTTGTACCAGATTCATTTGAAACTTAATCAGAGAATTTTTTAGAAAGGCAACTATGAATAGAATAGGAAGATACATATCAATTTTAAAAAGATTTGATTTGATTCATTATACCTAATTCAAACTGATGCATTAGGCAACCTGAAAATTGCTCCGACTTAACGTGTTGCTGGTCTTTTATCCAAAAAGAGTGCTCATTGCAAACTGTAAAGCAAAGTTCAAAATAGTTTAATTGTGATTACAAATAGATCAGAATATTTTTTATGTTGAACGAAGCATCTGATTGCATTAAAAATTATATTTCGAATATTTATATACATATAGACAAAGAAATATTCCAACCTATCTCTCTCCTTAGGAGAATTACAACTGGTCCATATTTTGGATTTTGTTAACGACATGGTACTTATACGACATGCAATATTTTTATGTAATGAACATGTTCAAAACTCTTCACATTACTGAAGATGTTCCTGTTTCTGCTTGGGTTGCATTTGCTCTTCATGGTTTTGGATTAGGTAAAAAGATTACTGTATCAGATCATACTGCAGACTCAAAGAATGCAATCTTTTTCTTTTGCAGTTCTTAAAGCTTTGCTGGTCTGCCGAATGATTGGACTAGTTTTAAAACAGTGGAATCGCCAGAAAGTGGAAAAAGACATTATTAAGGGTAGTTTTGTACACAATCGAAATTAATGTGACCATAATAATATATTAAGAAAGAGGACAACGGTTCATTTTATTTACGCCTCTATTACAAGAAGTTCAAATTTTTCCAATTATATACAAGGAAGTAATAATCTTCAGTATTGCGCTTCTACGTTATCATAAAAATAAAGGAACATCATAGATGCATATGTCAGCTGGTGTTTCATATACAAAACCTCCAAAATTATTTGTTGAGTTTTACTATACTTGATGCATTTCTAAGGAGTTGCAAAATGAAATGACGGTAGAGGGTAGACGATAGACGGTAGTACCGAAGAGCGGCAAACATCCAAACATTAATGGCTGAACCATGATGTTTGATCATATGCTTGACGACATACCCACACCTGTTAACGATCGTAGCTGTTTATTCTCCGCCATCTTTAGATTCTGCGCTTTTCATTCCGTAAAACTACCGCGATTTCTCGAGACCTCACGAGCCTCATGTGCCTTCATGCCAAATCGTCTTGCGAAAAACGGTTGGATTGAGGAATGACTTGTCTTAGTCTTACATTTTAAAAAGTGTATGTTGTATTGTGAAAGATATTTATCGTAAATCTTCTGTTGATTGTGAATGTGTTTCAGTGTTAGTTAATTAAATTGAAGGATATATTGAAAAAGGGTAAGTGGGGCTTCAATATTTTCATGACCATTAAAACATTTAATAGGGTAGGCATGATAGCATTGCAAAAATAACGGTATCTAAAGGAATTTGATTGTTCTTCAATAGAATTACCATTCTAGATGCATTTATAAGTAAATGAATGTTAGGTTAAGTTGTCGGTGTAGAAGTAGAACAGTAAACCCAAATGCTGGTTGGAGGGAAGAGAAAGCGGTCAAGTGCAGTTCAAAATAAAAATCAAACTAAATAAGTAAAGCTTTATTAAAAATTCAAGAAGCTAGTACAACAAAGATGCAAACTGGACGGTATATCTATATTGCATCTTGAAAAATCTTTAAAAGCTGTGTAAACTCGAAAGCTTGTTGCGTTTGTCCTATTTTAAATGCAATCATTAACAGTTCGTTTCGATATTATTTTTACCTTTGTAATAGGTAGCAGCCGTACTTAAATATAAAAAAATATATTTAGTACCTTTTAACATATTTGTAATAAAAACTTCCATCAAGTTAATTTATCATACTTGATATGGGATTGAACCTCATTATCTTAGAAAGTAATATCCATAGCACAGAGGTCATTACACACAATGTTACTCCACCCCATCCGAGGTCTAAAGACCATGACGTGGTGAATATGCGGGCAGTGAGAATCTCGCGGGGGTAGTGTATTCCAGGAAGAGACACTACCCCGTCAACTCCACCCACCAGATCTAAATCCCTACTAGGCTTAGTATGCAGTCTCTTTAAATGGATTATCATCAACGTGAAAATTGCGAAGGAAGCTAAAAATATAGTTGAATGAGTTGGCAACCTTAGGGGTTTCTTTTACAAATTAAATGAACTGTAGTAGAAGCATATTGTTAATAATATTGGGGTCTTAAATGGTTCGGTGAACATCGCGCTTCCTAGAAAGTGGCTTTACCTGCTAAAAGGTACATGACCCCAGTAACTAGGACGGCACTAATTTGATGCTGGCAAACTCCAAAAGCACCAACCAAAGCTGCACTTCCTAGTATTATAAGACATACCAAGGCGCAGGAAATTGACAGATTTTGCATTCCTGGAAGCAAGAACAATATAATTTTTACTACTTATAATTATACACTGAAATACAATTTTACAGTAAATCTAGTAGTTTTATTTCGTCTCTGAATTCATTTGTTAAAAAATTGTAGATATCTAAACTTTATGATCCAAAGTCGTTTTATTGGACATTTTGAGTAGGTTGTGGATGTAGGTATAAAAATTTTAATTGTCAGCATCCAAATTTATCTGAAGTAACAAGTAGTGACAGTGAGAGTGGGGTAAAAAGTCATTTGTTTTATTTTATTCTGTACGTATTTTTATGAATAAAGGAATTTGGGGATGCATATCAGTAGCGCGCCGCGGTCAGTTTACTCTCTTAACATTAATTTGGAGTGAATATGATTACTGTTACTATCTTGTATAGTTGGAACCGCCAGAATCGGTAAAGTCCTCATTAAATTAACTGTGAGATTGGACGCATTTTCTTTCTTGTTTCCATTTGAGACTGTAGTCATTTGCTGCGTTTCGAGCACGTCACATTGTTAAGTCAGGAAATGCTTCATGAGTAGTACAGACAAAGTCAAAAGAAATAACCGAAAAATAGTAAGCGGTGCAGCGATTAGAGGTTGCTTGGGCACGAAAAATTTCAGGGTCGGCTTTATCTCTTTAAACAAACGTCTTTTGTTTTCCTAAATTCCTGAGAATGTTGAACTTTCCAATGCTGGTCACATGCTCAAATTATACTTGTGGTGTTCCCGTCAGCAACCGCTTCAGTCTAGTTAGTAAGTCCAAAGAAGAAAGTAAATGCGACAGTTTTATTGAGGACTATGCCAATTCTGAATGCCCTAACTATAGCGTTTGTGATCTAATTGTAAGTCATAGTAACAGTACCTAATTAATTAGACCGCCCGCGAAACTGTCCCTACATGCGTATGTACTGACGGTAACTGGCACGCAATTGAACTAAGAAATTCGACTACCAGAAACCGCGGCAAGTTTCTATCCGTTATTCGAATTTGGGTTAAACTAAGCTCTTTATAGGGATGTTCCACTGTTTCTTTAATTTTTTTTTGCTATCAACGTGTAGTTCTTATTAATCAGATGGAATAATGCGTATAATTAGTCAGTCTATTTTGTTTTGTGCTGGTGGGTGCATCGATGAATGTTCCGTGAGATTGATTGTTTGATCCACTGTGCGTTCAATATCGATGTGCTTATTTCGAGAGGGATACTTACGAAATTGTCTGACGTGATCAACATCCCCACTATACTTACTATGTTGCCAGTCATTTTTTCTGTCGTAATTAGCTCTAATTCGATCATTGCCAGCTAAATAATTGACACAGGGAGGTATTCTAGGGAATTTTACTCCGTCAAGCAGAAATATTTCTTCATCTGGAAAGGAAGTCTTCGTTTTAGTAGGATAAGCAAAAAGATTGAATGTGTAAGGAAAAGGCAATAATGTATTCCAAATTTCCAGTCATGTGCACCAAAAAAAGAAACTTTTGGGTGTTTCATTCCCACCAGCCAGTAATGCTGGTGGGCGGGCAGTCCCTCCGGACTATGCCGGAAGGTAGGGCAGAAGGCCCTCTTCAGCCTCCTTTTAGGAATCGTGGGAATGGGTGGGTGGTGGTTCGGATGAGAAAGATGAGACGGACGAAATGAAGACAGAAGAGAGTGAAAGATTTTATCTGTGGAATATTACTGCCTAAGTGATCCAAGCAAACCACAGAAAAACTTGGACCAAGGCAGACGGACCCGGAATCGAACCGGCGTTCTCCCGAATACTAAGCAATGGTCTAAACCTCTAGGCCATGCAGCTCGGTCATGTGCACCATCAGCTTAAACATTAACTTGCGGGAATGTTGCTTGGTGAATTAGACCTGAACATAGATTTCTTAAGTTCTTCAGGGGCATTTATTTCGGAACATTTGGTTTCTTGCGTTTGTGATCATCAGAACATCAGTACCTAACTCATTCGTCATATTTGAAAGTTGTCATTTCTTTTTCACTTACCGGTTAAACTTAAACACAGCGTCCATATTCCTCCATGCATGGGAACCAGAAAAGCTAATGGTTTCCTCTCATCAAGACCAGTTATTTTAGCTACTTTTCTTTCTAAAAGCCATTGAAGCTTGAGTGATACGTTTGTAAAGTTTTCCAACTTGTCTTGACTCCAAGTAACTTCTTCCCAATGATCAGTCATTATGGAAGCGCATAACATACCTGTTGCGCATATTGTAAGCACCTTAAACACAACTGTCCATAAATAAACCTGATTGTGAGATTAACCAACAAAACCAGGACATGTTCAACAGTTAGAATTTAAATTACTTACAAGTGTTCCAAGCAAGAAGAACACACTCGGGTGAACACTGCAATTCCATCCGGAATCGTCGTCAGTTTCAGTGTTTGCTGCATCCATGACACCGTCGTGGTCGACGATGAGGAGGTCGTACTCTTGATAGTCCTTCAGTTTGATGGTCTTGCGGTACGTCTTTGGTGCTTTAACAATTTCTAGTGCTTTTTTTTGGAAAAGACTTGCGTGGAGTTAATTGTCTTCACACGCTATTCTTTAAGTTAGACCATCACCTCCCTGAATTCTTGTTCTTCTCGTGCATATGTCGTTGATAAAATTGTGTTACTTAAAAATGTGAGGTTTTGGAGGTTTTATTGCCTTTAAACAAAGCCGCTTGTCTACTTTTACAGTGTTGACTTAATATGGTCTAAGATGTTATAACACGCTAGAGGAACTCTGAATTCTCAAGTATTTTGTCCTTTTATTTTAACTTTTCTAGTAATGTAGTACGTCGTCTACTTAGTTTTATTTGCTTTATTTTATTAAAAGGTACTACTTTTGTTAGTATTGTAATATTTAATTAGTTTAAACTACTTGTTTAACTCTGTTTTTCTAACTAACCATTGCTTTAATTGAGGAGTGAAGGTGCTATAGCTTTGTTTCAGCTTTCTTGGTCGCTTTCTTCATTAGGTGCATTTCAAACGGCAAGTTTTCTTTCTAACTTGTGGTCATTGAAATTTTTTTTACTTGTTGTTAAAGAGTTGATAAATATTGTTTGATTCGAATTCATTTCCATATAAAGTTACCTAAAATAGAAATTAGATGTAACTAAGTAATAATCAACGAATAATATTATTGTGAAACAAAATGTACTTAATATATCAGTTTTCATTTGTAAAAGTAATTTCTCTTTTACTTTGTCAATTAAAGGGATAAGAAAGGTCACAAGTTCATACGGAAAACGTCAGGCACCCTTTTAGTTTAGTTTTCTCGTTCCCGTTTCCGATTTGTCGATAAGGGNCCACATGGAAACTAAGACTCCTTGTCATGCATTTTTAGGAGAGCTCATTATAAGGCTGAGGCAAGCTACCAAAGATAGTCATCCTAAAGACATTATGATGATGAGTTTGAAGAAGTTTTGCGTTAAAGGAGGAGTTCAGTCACAGTATTGTCGAAAGTTTTGATGAGTGCAGTTCTCAAGAACAAAAAGAACAAGTATCTAACATATCTTAAAAATAATAAAAAAGACAACAAATGAAAGTATTGTTTAGTGTTTCGATCATCATTATCTGTGTTATAGCTAACCAAATATTATAACCTTAAAAGATGCTATTAGAAAAAAAAGACCAAAAGAAAAACCAGATCGATAAAAAAAATAAAAATAATTGATTGTAAATTTATTTTTTAAATAATTTTACTACTATGTATTACATTAGAATGTGTAACCAATACATTGTGATTTCCTATAAATAAAGGGTCAAAGTGTTAATAATCACATCCACCCACCAGTCGGAAGAAAGCACAAAATACGTTTAACCAATTGTACACAATAAATATTGATAACACCACATTATGTTTTGAAAAGCAAAAATCGTCCAAAAATAGCCTTGCAATAAATACAACAAATTCCACGACGATTATGAACGCATAAAGCAATAGCCAAGGTAGATACAACACAGCATTTCTCTAAAAAAGTATTTAAAAAGTGAAGGATAAGATTACATTAACAACTGTTTAAAATAAAACTTCTCATTTTGGTTACATATTCAAAAAAGGTACCCTTCCCGGTTCCCATTCCCTTTGCGATAGTCAGTTTTCAGCTTCTCTCGGAATGCGTCTGCATCAAATTTGCGTTACTTTAACAAATATAATTTTGTTGTTCATGTTATTTGGATGATAAAAGCTGATATTTATTTAGTATGTGATATTTTGGTTGCATCAGTGGGTGCAAAAGCAAAATTTGTTTCCTAAGTAGCGGTCACCTCTCTAAAGCGGCCAAATTTTTATTCAATATTCACTGACCATTCATCATCATAAGGTCGCCAGTCCTCAGACTGGTTGGACACGCACCTCCACTCTTTCCTATCCTAAGCTAACCTTCGCATTTCCCCAAAACTAGAAACATCCCACATCCTTAACTATTTGCGAACAGTAGTCTAATCTAGTGGTTCCCACTTTGTTTTGCTATGGAACCCTTGCTGACCCACCTAACCTTCTCAACGACTGCAGGGTATTCATCTTTAAGTTCGATCCAAAGGTTATTCAAATTTGAATCAGCTGATTCGGATTTTTGTTTTTTGAGTTGTACTAATGTCGATCAAGTTCGCATACTCAGACATAGTTAAAATTGATGGTTTATTCTGAATTACGGAAGGACTCTGTACTCAGTAGTTGTCTTGCAACTCCTCTGGAAAATATTCTTTTAAGGATTTTTTAGGTTTAATAGATGTTACTTGTTACTCATTTTCTTCAAGAAATCTGTTTAGAAGAGGAAAAAATTCAGAACTTTTTTGTTCAATACATTCAACCAGAAGCCAAATTTGTTTGTTTTCGTTAGAGATGGATAGCTATTTTGTATCTCACTGTAAACGTAGTTGCCACTGTAAGAACCTACTGATTACTTTAAGTTTATCGAATATACCTATCGATCAAATAAACCAATTTCATTATTCGTTTCTCATTATGCAATAGTTCCAAATGACTAACAGATGTTACTTTTTACTTCTGTATGTAGGAATAGTAGATGCTGGCTTTCTATACACCTTTAACATAGAAGTGACTTTTTTTATTGAAGGCGACTCGACCCTGCGCTATCTTCTGCTTTATATCCCTACAACTCCTTCCGTCCTGACTTATCTGACTTCCTTCATACCAAAAATCAGCCACTTCTTCTAATCTTTCGTCTCCTATCTTTATATTCGCTCTTTCCCTACTTTTTCTTCCCTTGCATACCAGTACTTTTGTTTTACTTTTATTTATTTTCATACGATACTGTTTTGTCAATACCGCTTCAATTTTATTTGAAGCTATCTCTAACTCCTCCTTGCTATATGCTAATACTGTTATATCATCTGCAAATCAGAGCATACTAATCTTTTGTCCCTGTATATCTGTCCCTACAATTGTCTGATTAAAAAGTATCGCTGACAGTGTGCTTCAGTGTTTGACTCCCTTCCTAATGTTTACTTAGTATACGAGGGTGGATTGATAAGTTTCCGGCCTGACCAAGAAAAACAAGGTTTTTAAAAATTTTTTTTTTTTATTTCTCAACATAATCTCCTCCAAGGCTGATACATTTCTCATAGCGGTGTTCCAGTCTATTAATGCCATCTCTATAGACTGATTCGTCAAGCTCCTCAAAATAACCATTTACAGCTTCGATTACTTCTTCATTGTCCGCAAATCTCTTACCGCCAAGCCATTTTNAAGGGCAGTTAGTAACATATGTCATTTTTCAACCACAATATGGATTTGTTTGCGATAACTTACATTGGCCTCCTTCACAATTTGCAAAATTATGAAATGTATAGATGTGTCTATATTTTTTTCAAATTAGGGTTCCTAGTTGATAATTAATTGTATCGTCACTTATTTTTAAAAATTTATTAAAATGTAGCCACTAGCAATTTAATTTTTTTATTTCTACGTAATACCAAAGTAATAATAAATTTGTTACAAAAATAATTGTTGAAAGTGTGTTCGAATCATTTAGTGTAAAAACATCCAAGTAATCATTAAAAATGTCATACCTTATAGCAGTTTTTCTTTGAAACTCTTAGTGAAAATTTAGTACCAGTAGTAACACTGTTGAAATTTAACTGAGGCAACAGTCTGTACGTAAGTCATTGCGCACAATTTCAGAGTTTTTTGCAAAAGTCGATAAACTTGGGGTGTACAGTGTGGTGCGCACGTTTGTTCCGCGTCCCTTTGGAGGCATATATCCATAACCTGTTTAATTTTGTGTTTTGTCCAAAAAACTTGTAAAGAGTAAGATTTTTTATAATAATCTCCAAAACCCTAATATATATGTATATATATGAAATGTGTATTTCGTAGGATTCTGCTTTAGGTGTAATTATAATAATTAGTTATTTAGAAAACGAGACAATTGTTAAATATTCATCTAACAATAAAAAAATTGCATGCGTTGTTGTAACAGAACGTCAAATTACAGGTAAACATGAAAGGGTTTACTGGAGGAATTCTATTAATTTATGTATTCAATTTGTAGGCTTTTATTTTACTGTTATTTTACCAGTTTTTTATAACTGGCATTGTTGACTTTGTTCAAATTTTTTGTGGTAGATAAACATTTTCTATCTCCATAAAAGGTAATAGATGTCACTACAATTACAGATTGCTGTTTCAATTAACAGAATTTTTCTTAAAAAACTGTTACTATTTGAAAAAACATTACAATTGCAATCAAATATTTTATTTAACTTTACACCGAATTATATGTCTATTATATTCTGATGGATGTTATGTACGCATATTATAGTTTGGATACTTTTTTAGATGGCTGATATCAATATAGATTTAGACAGTAATGATAGAACTGAACTTCTTGGGCAAGGAATTCGAGCATATATGATGCGAGACTATAACGCGGCCGTGTCTGCCTTAAGTAGAGCTAGTGAAATAGGTGTCAAGGAGCATAACGATGATAAACATGACTCTCTTGCCGAAATATATCTCTTTTACGGCAAAGCTCTTTTAGAGCTCTCACGGGAAGAATCGGAACCATTAGGAGATGCGATCCCTCGAGAGACTGAGGATTCCGATGACGAAGAGGAGGTTGATCAGGAAGACAATGAAGCAAATGGAATAACTGAAAGTGATAAGATGGACGTATGTGATAGTAACGAGAGTAAGCCAAAAGATAAGTCTGAGATCAGTACCGACGTAGCAGAAAAAGTTTCTGAAGAAACTAAATCGCCTAACAAAACAGAACCACCTAAAGTGGAAGAAAGCGAGGAAGATAAAGAACCATCATCTACACAAAGTGAAGCAAGTACCACAGAAGTGTCATCTGTGAAGGAGCGTGAAGCTAATCCTTCAAAAACAGAAAAATCAAATGCAGATGAAGCAGTGACCAACGGTCAAGCAGATAGTACAGACGACATCCAAAAGACCAATGGTCATAGCGACTTGCAAGAAAATGGTACGTCTGGAAATAAAGATGAAGCACAACAGAATGGTGTTGAATCTGAACCATGTACAAGCCAAGAGAATGGCGAAAAAGTTGAAGAAACTGAAGATGAACCTACAGATCTTCAAGTAGCATGGGAGGTTCTTGAACTGGCAAAAATAATCTACGAGAAACGGGGAGAGAGTAGCAAAAAAGACTTAGCTGAAACATTAATAACACTTGGAGAGGTATCGATGGAAAGTGAAAATTTTGATAGTGCTATTACCGATATTAAACAGGGTTTGGAGATTCAGAAAACCATACTCGATAATAACAGCCGGAAGTTGGCAGAAACGTATTACAAACTGGGCATGGCTCTTTCCACTAATAACCAAATTGAAGAAGCCATAGAAAACTTTAACCACTCATTGAAAATTTTAAATAATAAAGTTGACAAATTGAAAGAAAGCGACGGAAATTCTAAAGTTCAAACCGAAATAGACGAAATCAAATCCTTGATTCCTGAAATAGAAGAAAAAATTGCCGACATGAAATGTTTCAAAGAAGAAGTAAGTTTAAAGGTGACATTTTTTGAATTTGTTCTATGGATTGTATTTTTTTTTTAGGCATTGAAGAAGCTTAGTATTACTTTAGAAAAGCAATCCGGAACCAAGACGGACGGAAGCAGTTCTGATACGAAGGCAAACGATATATCTCATTTGGTCAAAAGAAAGCGTAAAATAGAAGAAATAACTGAAGAATTGGAAGCTAATCCCTCAAAGAGGAAAACCCCCGAAGACAAAAAATCTCCAGAAGAAGTTGTCAGCACTGTCGAAGAAGTGAAGACCAGTGAATAAGTTTAATAAAAAGACTGTGTTATTTATTTAAAATGTAAGGTTCGAAATGATAAATGTTGTTTGGTTGAAACAAAAAGACTTGATTTTTAGATGTCCATATTTATATTTGTACTCAACTACGTTTTTATTTCATTAAAGCATTCGTTCATATTTCCGTATTTTTTTATTTATTAAAAGAAGCTGTTATATTTTTGTTTAAAAAAGTAGGTAAATTAACATGATAAAAAAAAGCTGCTACTAGAATGTGAACATCAACAGGTAAGTACATTAAGTGGTAACCTTTTGTGAGTAAAATAATCAACGAAAACAGTCGCAATTACTCACATCATCATCTAAACTGATTTATTGATTTTATTATGCACAATAGTTAGCAAAGTAATCAAAACTAACAAAAAAATCTTATCTGTTATTTTAAGTCAAGAATTAGTAACTTTTTGATGAATACGTATATAAAAATTAAGACTGTTCAAGGTCAAAGAGGAACGTTTAAGAAAGGTCTTGAAATGTTTATGCTTATTTTTGAAAAAAATATGGAATTCTCAGCAAATAAAATAAAATGTAGTTTTGTTAAATACGTATCAAAGAAAGTACTGCAACGTATATTATTTTTAAGTCAAAATTTAAACAAATATTTATTTAAATAGGTAAGTTTATAGATAACTTAGGTTTGCTTATTATTTTTTTGTGAACTATTTGAAAACACATTTTCATATCGTTTTTATAAGAAATGGTACCTTGATGATTAAATCGGAATTCCGTGGAACGCATTACTAGTTTGCTGTTGTAAATACGTCCGTTTCTATACCCATCCCTTTCTTACGTTAATTAATAAGCCTTAAATAGGACATTTTTACTGATAACGCGTTGATTATCTCTTTATCAACATTAGATAAGAGATATGATGACAAACGCAAGTGAGTAACGCCCTGTACCTTGACGCATTGGTAACGAAAACAGTTATACCATTTTGCTGTCTGTTTTTCAAAAGCAAAAATTCGTTAAAAATGGCTTCGAATATTGCCACTGTGGGTAGTGTTGTTATAAAAATATTAAAATTGGTAAGTAGACACAAAAAATTGTTAACAAATTGGTAATGTCATATATTCAAGGTAGTTCATACAAATAAATGTATTCTTTTGTTCTAAATGCGTGTATGGGTGTAACGGGAATTGAATATAACGTTGATGTATGTAAACTTGCGTGTTTTTTAATGGTAAAATATTTTTGATGCAATTCGTGTAAGATAAAGCAAAAAAAATATGCTCCATGTAGTCCCGCCATTAAGTAAACAAGTTACAAAATTTATACATTAGTTTGAGAGAGAATGAGCCATACTATAAATTGTGTACATATTCTTGAAAAGAGTAATTTAAATAAGGGACATCTTTACCCTTTTATTTTCAATCATTATCTTATGCTGGTAGAAATGATAATGACAGTTTTACTCATTTTTACAGGTAATAAACCTTATTATTCTGGTATTATACCGAACCGGTTATTCCGGTTATTTCCTAGGGGTCGGTGGAACATGGAATTTAAATGAAGAGAAAAATCCGGACGTGGAAATTGTAGCTTCTGGTGTTTTTGTTGGCTACATGATTTACACGGCAGTTACAATAATTAGTTTTTGTTTTGCATCAGCAGATCATAAATAGTAAGAATCTATTGAAATTTCTTTTATGCTTTCGCCTCTCAATATCAGTGATTATTTCTGATGATGCTCCATATCGCCTAATCCATTCAAGAACTTCATAAAAAAGATATAGGTAAATGTCTAGAATATATTTTCAAGTGGGTGGAGGTGGGGGATCGAATGAGGGTGGTCACTTGAACAAAACCCGATAACCTAACCTAACCTAACCTAAGCTACCCTATTGATAAAGATATTTAAATAATGTTTTATATAACTTTCTCAATATTTTTATGTATTTTTCATTAGTTTCACCTTTGAATATTGTTTAAGAATAACTATATAAATATTTACATCTCTAGAAATGTATAAAAATTGGCATATTTATTAACTTTGAACCCCTATAACTTTTTATGGTGGCGAGACCGCCACGAACATTTTATGGTATAGTGGTGGGGGAGACCTCCTCTTTCGATCCCCCCCTTCGGCGGTGGGGGCCATCATCTAGACCTTTACCAAAATACATATTGATTTTGATTGAAGCTCATTAGTTGATTAATAATAATAAAAAAAGTATTTTTTTAATTCCGCAAAACTCGATTTCTTTTTAGCACTTTCACAGATCTTCTTATGAATGCTGTAGGCGTTTTCATGTGGACCGCTGTTGGAGCAACTGCTTTACATTACTGGATCGGGTACCAGAACGAGCATAGATTTATTCATGTATCTTCAGAAAGACAGGTTGGTTACATTATTCCTACAAGAAAATTCCTTGGCAAAAATATAATTCGTTCGTTATTTTTATTCTTTTTCCCTTTTTTGTTTTTTGACCAATTGTATGAAAAGACTTTGTAAGGAAAAAGGTAACGAGATTGATTTTAAATCTATCTTCCCTAATCGTCCACTTCTTGTAACTTATCATTTGAAATGTTCATCAGCAGTTTTAATTTTCATTAAAATCGTCTTATACTGTCTGGAAAATATTTTATGCAAGTAATTTATAAAGGAACCCATGCTAAACAGTAGGAATTATATTTCGACATGATTACCAGCGGTACGACTTTTTGATACTTAATGCATGTTTTTATAGGCAAACCTATAAAACAATTACATTCTTTAATACGGTAAAGCTGTAAAGACTTCTAATTAAAGTGGACCTCTTTTTAGTTCTGTACAATCTTTCCAAATTGAAAAAGCAATCTTTGAAATTTAATGATCAGATATTGTATTTTTTGACAAATTGATAATGGTTTCGCGGCCAGTAGGTAAACTGATTCTGTCCCGATCTCACACCTCCTGATTATTTTTTATGGGGATACGTTAAAGAGAAGGTATATGCAAACAAACCACGTGGCGGCTAATTTCCGTTTTCGATTGGGGGGGTGCCAGCAACGCGAGGGTTAACATTTGGACAACACCATCTTTGGTACTTAATTTTCCAAAACTTTGTCTAAAAATTAACAAAAAAGATCTTTTTTGTGACTTATAGTCGTTTAGTTTGTTTTTATTGAATTTACAAACACCCCCTACCCTTTCTGGACACGCTGACATCATCCAATGCGCATCTATGGGCATTACAATCTCAGAGGCTACGTCTTGTTGGTCCAACAGTATCTTTTATCTTCTATAAGTCTGTTGTTTTTATGATTATAGGTTGGAATAGCTCTAGGAGCCCTTTGCATAATATCGGGGGCCGTTTACCTTTTAGACACCGTTCTATCCGGTATCCACTTTGTAAGGAACAAGTTGGCCTAAATATATCTAGAACGTACTGTATTTACGTACTTAAACAAATATTTACCATAACGTATTTTGAATATCGCCAAGTTAAGGCGTTACAATGTTATAATAATAAATATCTTCATAATGTACAAATCTTTGGTATCTTTAGTAAGTTTATGGTTTCAAGTTGTTTTTTAATTTGGTAGCTATGTTTTCATTGACTAAGGAATCATGAGAAACTGTTAGGACTGGTTATCATTTAATTGTTTTGTTTGATAATTATACAGATACCTCATCAGGAAGCTCTCACAGTTTTAAGAAAATATCAATTTTCCATTTACCATTTTTAGATAACATGTATATCATCATTCTCGTTTCATAAAACGCCTTGAAAATTATGCTTACTTAGTTTGTACTTGTATATTAGACTAATGTTTTTTTATGTTTTATAAATTTTAATTGCTACTTATGTAGAAGTTGGATTATACGGTAATTTAAGCTGGATGTATTTTTTTGTGAATGCAAACCCTATGAATTAAAATAAATGTTAACATTAATTAGTTTTTATTGTCAAGTCTTATAATTTTTACTGCGTAACATACGGGGTGTTCCAAAAATATCACAATTGTTCCTCTTCTTACCTTATCGAGTTGAACATTCTGGAAAAATTAAAAAGAAATTATAAAATGGCTTTTAAATGTCGATATACTTTTTTTTTCTATGTGTCAATATCGTGCTCTTTGTTTTCTCCCCCTTTCCTTTTCTCTTCTTGAGCTCCTGGACCCGCGATCTCCTGTATCCAATTTTCTGGGCTCTTTTCCAGTTTGCTTACATTTTTCTATTTTTTTTTAATGGATATATACTTAATGAAGTGGTTTTGATTTTTTATCATTTTAATTATGTGCCTATATAAATTCGAAAAAAAAAAATGGTTAATCGAAATTATATATAAATAAAAAGAACAACCAGAAAAGCGTGTGTTCGGATATTTTGGTACTCCACTGGGGTGTTATGTATTGGATAAGTCCTAGGGGTAGTGTTTGTATAAAGCCATTTTCGTGGCGGTGCAAAGATATTTGTGGGGGAATGTATTTCTGATCTGTATTATTCTTACACGTCCTAGAATAATTCCCAAAATTCCCAGTTTCTTTAAACGGGAGACATAGTCAGTCAGCGGCATGACCTAAACACAGCATAATGATAAGCAAATAATGGATCAGTAATATATAGGGTTGTTCGGAAAGTCTTTTCGTTTTTTCCCGGCAGAGGATTTAATTGTATTCTTTTGCACCCAACTTCACATTTAAGCCGTATAATTTTTATATGCTTTGAGAGCTCATATAGCAAGGCTTGTGTGTGAAAAATTCCAATTAATTCTACGCAGTAGTTTTTGGTTGGTGCCCTTTTAAATATGGAGAGCGATAAGCAGCATTTTCGACATATCTTACTGTTTTACTACAGAAAGGGTAAAAATGCTGTTCAAGCCAGAAAGAAATTGACTGATGTGTATGGAGAAGGTGTGTTGACAGTACGCCAGTGCCAGAACTGGTTCGCTAAATTTCGATCCGGCAATTTTGATGTCGAAGATGCACCACGTTCGGGAAGGCCGGTTGAAGCTGATAAAGACGCGATAAAGGCATTAGTTGATGTGAACCGGCGAATAACAACACGTGAGATCGGATTGAGGTTAAATTTATCAAATTCAACAGTTTATGACCACTTGAAAGGCCTGGGATTATCCTCGAAGCTCGATGTATGGGTTCCCCATGTTCTCACAGAGAGAAATCTGTGTCGCCGCATTGACGTCTGCGATTCGCTTCTCAAACGTCACGAAAATGATCCGTTTTTGAAGCGCATCATCACTGGGGACGAAAAATGGGTTGTATACAACAACGTCAAACGCAAGAGGTCATGGAGCAAAAAAGATGAACCGGCTCAAACCATTTCCAAAGCCGATATTCACCAAAAAAAGGTGATGCTGTCTGTTTGGTGGGATTTTAAAGGAATCGTTTTTTTTGAGCTTTTACCGGATAACACAACGATTAATTCGGAAGTCTACTGTCATCAGCTGGACAAACTGAATGATGCACTTCAACAGAAAAGGTCAGAACTAATCAACAGGAAAGGTGTAGTGTTTCACCAAGACAACGCGAGACCTCACACAAGTTTGGTCACTCGCCAAAAGCTTTTACAGCTTGAATGGGATACAATGCTACACCCACCATATTCTCCAGACCTGGCACCATCGGATTATTATTTGTTCCGGTCACTCCAAAATTTTTTAGACGGTAAAACCTTCACCTCAAATGAGGAGGTCAAAAACCTCCTCGATCAGTTTTTTGCCAGCAAAGACCAAAAATTTTATGAGCGTGGAATTATGCTACTACCAGAAAGATGGCAAAAGGTGTTGGACCAGAACGGTCAATATATAATTTGATAAAGTATTTGTTTATTATATGAAAACTGTCTTTCATTTCCACAAAAAAAAAAACGAAATGACTTTCCGAACAACCCTATATTTCCAATTGAGTAGTATTAAAATTTAACTGGAATTACAATTCTATTCATTTTTTTTATGCTGTTTAATTTGTGATTAAAGAAAGGCTGCGGAAATTAGGGAAAGTGGTTGCCACAGGATCGTAGATGGCGACGCGACGCCACCGGGACGGACGATTTCAATTTTCCACTGGCACATGCTCAGCCCGACGCAAATAATCAATACACAGTAGCATCCCATCCTTATTCTTCCTCTCCATTTCCAATGCAAACACATATAGAAAAAGCATTAGTCATAATAAAATGTAATTGAAATTATGAATTCACTTTCTATGGTCTCGTAATACTTAATAGCAAAATTTTATAACAAAAAAATTGCGAAAGATAAGCCAGTTGCAAAATAAAACTAAAAAGGTTTACATAGATACGAAAACTTACCGGCGTTTTAATATCGCAGTTCCGTCAGTGAAAATTGTAAGTACGAATCATCTTTTATTTTAGACAGTTTATGAATCATGAGTTAATCGCTTAATGTCTACGGTCAGTCGTTGAAACATTCCGCTTTGTATTTTTCGTAGGTGAAGCTATTAATTTGAAAAACATTAAAAATATACTCAGCTGCCGAGATGGCTTCCAAAGTGATGGTGAAGTTGCCCTGTACGTCGTTCGCACAAGTAAGTATTAAGTACATACATTTTAATAATAATTTTCTAGATCCTAGAATATATATATATATATGTATAAGTACAGCGCTTAAAAGTTTTGCAAGTCATGCGGAATTAATTATTAGTAAACAATTCGATAGGATTTCCTTTTTAATTTCCAAGCTTTGTAAGTTAATTCTATTCGTAAATATTTCTTTTGAACCACATAACGCATTTTCTTACATTTATCGCTAGTAAACCTGAACTAAAAATATTTCAAGTTTTTGTTGTACACGAAGTTGTACTTTAAAGAATATCACTGCATAATCACTGGAAGTATTTTTATAAGATTCCTTGTTTTATTTATTAGGAAAGACTATAAATTGTGCGAAATAAGTGTTTTTTGATAATTGTTCAATGAGGTGTTAATATTGATAAAAAGGTAAACAAACCCGGAAGCATAAAGGAAGGTTTAGTCGTAACTGGAGGAAGAAATGATAATGGAAATTACCATTTGGAAATGCAGAATGGAAATAAAATTAGTAGAATCGCCCAACTCGAACAGAATATTCGATTCTTGCAGCAACAGCATCAACAAATGCTCGACGGTCTTCACAAGGAGATTGACAATTTAAGATGCAGGAATAGAGGTAAAACAAAACATTGGAAGACGATATGCTGTATTGACAGTTTTTTCTTTCGCAGAACTGCTGTTTCATCTAATTTTCACTAAAGGATCTGTGCCAAGTCCTTTATCAACTCCTGATGAAGATGTAGAATCCAAGGTATGGTATGCTTTTTAAAATGTCCCTGTATTTTCAACAGTAGTTAGTAGTTAAGTCAATCCATTATTTCCTTTTTCAAGATTTGATTGAACAGGATCATGGGTATTAGGGAAATAAAATTGAAAAACCAATTAGAATAATTGATTCGCGACGTTTCGTATTTCTTGAGGCATTATTAAACTCTCAACTTATCTGACTTTCAAAATTATAGATATAAACGTAGTTGGTAGCATCTTTCCTTGATCCAACCAGTTTGTTTAAAATTTTTTAAATAATTACTTAAACTTGGTGAGAATTAAAACATAAAGAATTGTATAAATTAAAATTTGAAAACTGATACTTGTTGTAACAGAACGTCAAATTACAGGTAAACATGAAAGGGTTTACTGGAGGAATTCTATTAATTTATGTATTCAATTTGTAGGCTTTTATTTTACTGTTATTTTACCAGTTTTTTATAACTGGCATTGTTGACTTTGTTCAAATTTTTTGTGGTAGATAAACATTTTCTATCTCCATAAAAGGTAATAGATGTCACTACAATTACAGATTGCTGTTTCAATTAACAGAATTTTTCTTAAAAAACTGTTACTATTTGAAAAAACATTACAATTGCAATCAAATATTTTATTTAACTTTACACCGAATTATATGTCTATTATATTCTGATGGATGTTATGTACGCATATTATAGTTTGGATACTTTTTTAGATGGCTGATATCAATATAGATTTAGACAGTAATGATAGAACTGAACTTCTTGGGCAAGGAATTCGAGCATATATGATGCGAGACTATAACGCGGCCGTGTCTGCCTTAAGTAGAGCTAGTGAAATAGGTGTCAAGGAGCATAACGATGATAAACATGACTCTCTTGCCGAAATATATCTCTTTTACGGCAAAGCTCTTTTAGAGCTCTCACGGGAAGAATCGGAACCATTAGGAGATGCGATCCCTCGAGAGACCGAGGATTCCGATGACGAAGAGGAGGTTGATCAGGAAGACAATGAAGCAAATGGAATAACTGAAAGTGATAAGATGGACGTATGTGATAGTAACGAGAGTAAGCCAAAAGATAAGTCTGAGATCAGTACCGACGTAGCAGAAAAAGCTTCTGAAGAAACTAAATCGCCTAACAAAACAGAACCACCTAAAGTGGAAGAAAGCGAGGAAGATAAAGAACCATCATCTACACAAAGTGAAGCAAGTACCACAGAAGTGTCATCTGTGAAGGAGAGTGAAGCTAATCCTTCAAAAACAGAAAAATCAAATGCAGATGAAGCAGTGACCAACGGTCAAGCTGATAGTACAGACGACATCCAAAAGACCAATGGTCATAGCGACTTGCAAGAAAATGGTACGTCTGGAAATAAAGATGAGGCACAACAGAATGGTGTTGAATCTGAACCATGTACAAGCCAAGAGAATGGCGAAAAAGTTGANAGAAATAGAGGCGAAACGTCGTGAATCAACAATGGTATAATAGGTTTTTCAATTTTGTTTTCGCAATACCCTTGGTTCTGTTAAATTATTATATAAGGGAAATCATTTCTTCATAAATGTATATCAATTTTATATTACAAATTTATTTAATGCATTTGAGAGTAATAATCGGTGGTATTTTTACACTATAGGCACATACAAACTCCACTGAGTCATTTCACCGATATGCGTGTGTTAATCTTTTAAAAATAGTCTCCTACACCGTGAACCATAAATACTAAATATCTGTAATTAACTGACAATGTTAATCAAATAAATTCGCGGGAAAACAAAAATTTAGGCTTTAGACCAAGAAATAACTGGCGTGACAATTTTAAATAAATAAACTCTTTGTGTTCATCTGCATAATATATGTTTTCATAGGTTAGTCCTAAGAATACAATTCCTCTCCAAGTGGAATTGTTGGAAAAGGAACTAACTGAGCTAAAACTGCAACTGCAAGAGAGCGAAAATCAAAACGCTTATTTATCTGCTATTGTCGAAGAGCAAAAGAAGTAAGTAAAAGCAAAAAAAGAACGCTTATTGGTGGAGATAATAAAAAATAGGAAAACAATTAAACATTTGGACTTCACTATAGTTGTTGAATGTTATCATCATCATTGTAAGGTCGCTAGTCCTAAGACTGGTTGGACACGCACCTCCACTCCTTCCTATTCTGCGTTAATCTTCGCATTCCCTAAATTTAGAACATTCCACACCCTTAATTGTTTGCGAACAATAATTTAGTCCAGGTCTATCTCCACTCCTCTTAACTCCTGTTTCTTATTCTAATACGTATGTGACCAGGCCCTTATTCTTCATACCAATCTATAGTTGAGACGTTCAAAATTGGCATAGTCCCCATTAAAACTGTCGCATTTACTGTCTTCTTTCAACTTACTAACTAGTCTAAAACGGTTGCTGACAGAACACTTGTAAAGAAAAAGAAATAACATCACATCAATCAATATGTGTAACAGAAAGAGATACAGACAAGCAGAATTTGAGCATGTTGCTGTACTTCATTTACTATCTGTAGCGATGTGCCCCTTCCAATGTCTTGGATGCGCGTTGGCAAAATCGTAGGTAGGGAGAAAAAAGCTCATTATACTTTCGACTCTTGTTCATTAAACATACTTTCTCATACAGAACCTGCCAAAAGTTTTGTTCAATCATGAATAGTAGTGCGAGTCGAAAACAAGCGTTAAAGCCTTTAATATGTCTTCAAATATAAATAAACATCTCGTTGATATTTTCAGTAGTAAATGGTACCATTAACAGCACATTTGAGCAATGAAATTGTAGTGGATAAAATGGTCAATTTTTCCGTGCAGTACTGTACGGATTATACGCTCCTCACCGGTTAAAAGTTTGGCCGAGAGTTGTCTTCTTCCTTTTCTGGTCTAGTGCTGTTCTTTTCTACTTTGCGCCGGTCAAACTGAAGGTCATATTGCTACAGAAAGGAAACGAAGTATAACATCGGACTTTAAAGAAAGTTCAACATTCTCAGGAATTTAGAAGAGCAAAGACGCTTGTTTAAAGATATAATTCCAACCAGACAGTTATGAAGTCGACCCTGATCTTTTGCGTACCTAAGTAACCTCTAACCGCTGCACTGCTTACAGTTTTTCGGTTATCGTTTTTCAGTTTTTATGTAGGTACTCATGAAGCATTTCCTTACTTAACAAGAGTGTATTCAAAACGCAGCAAGTGACTACAGTACCAAGGGGAAACAAGAAAGAAATTACGTGAAAAGTTTTCACAGATAATTTATTGGGGACTTTGCCAATTTTGATCGTGATTTCTATAGCGTCCTCCGTTCTCCTACTCTTTCTAATATCTTCTCATTTCTAACATTCTCTATCCACTGTATCCTAATGATAGCAATAAATAATTAATTCATTATGCACTTTTAGAAAGCTCGAACGCTACGCAAGAGAAAGAGAACGAGATTTGGAACGTGTATCCAAACCAGATCCTGAACTTCTGCATAAATTGGATGACGCAGAAGCTTTGATTCGTCGATTGCGTCGGGAGAATTCAGAACTGCGCAGGGAGCAGGCAAACATCCCCACTCCCTCCTCCAATTCAAGCGAATCTTATCGCCAGAGGGACAGGGGTAATTACCACAACCAGCGTCCGGGATCAACCGAGAATAAAGGTAACAGGCATCGTAACAACGGAGGTGGGAGGTCTAACTATAAGGGAAACTGGTTTCCCCCGCTACACACGCAAAGTTATTGGCATGGTGGCAGGGCATCAGACAAAGGTGGAGACGATGGAGAGGCCGGCACATCTTTCCCGAATCTCACCCAAGGAGGGGGAGGAGGACATTACCAGAATAGGAGGGGATCCAATAATAATCGGTACAACATAACTGACGGGAGGAAATACGAAGGCACGCCGAATAAAGGCAAAAGGAGAAGTTAAATGTGCTTTTATTGTTTATTAGAAAATCTTTAAATTTGTCATACTTGAAGAAAGATGCATACAATGTAACCGCTCCGTGAAGGTTTTGATTTCTATATACGTAGACACACACACACACACACAAACACTCACACACATACACATCCCTCAGAAATATAATACAGAGAAAATGGGGTACTTACATCTAACGAAAACTAAACTAAAAAAAATCGAAACTGTGAGAGAAGTTTAAGGTGAATAAAATCGATTTAGGATAATTAAAAATGCTTAGTTTCATCTAGTTTATTTTCTTATAAAATGCTTGGGAATATAAAACCAAAAATTTAAATTTCCAGTCATGTATTGTCCAATCATCTTCTTTGTATAACTTTTGGACATCGCAAGCAATAATTTTGGTACAAAGTAGAACAAGCAAGATATTTCTTTAAAAACCAAACATATCTGAAGAATGATAATAATACTGATAATTACTTTAACTTTTTTATTTAAAATTTTTAGAAAGCTAATTGGTAATTTTTTCAGTACATTTAGTTATTTCCAATTCCCCAAAATTGTCGATCCGAAAAAGAACTGCTATTGATTAATACGATCAGGTACAATAATTAAAAATTGAATTTTAATACACAGAAATAATGATTTCCTGGTTTTTCTTTTAAATTAAAGTAATATCAATTTCGCGCTTATATGAATCAATTAACCTCAATTTTTGACACGTGACAACAGTCAGAAACATAAAATTGTAATCAGAGCAGCTCGTACGTATTCGTTTATGTTCCGCCTTGGGGGGGTAGCCCGGGTTCAATTCCCAGCCTTAACGGCAACATACTCAAATAATTTTTTTTTGTGTACATCTACACCATAATATTAATATAATAATTTCTGCTTGCATTATCGTTGATTGTTGTTATTATATATAAAGGGAGTGCTACCTAGGATATCATATTCATTCCCAATAATTTAAATTCCTTTCCTCCTACTAACAATAGTTTGATTTATAGATGTAATGCAATGCAATTATAAAAGCCCCGTAAATGATCAGTTGCTTGCAGCTTTGAAGGTTTAGAAAAGAAGCTTCGCTGTAATTGTCAGTCTCCAAGTATGGCATAAAATATACAAGTACTGTTATTTATTGTAACGATATGATATAATTATATTATATAGACTGTTTTATTCAGCTGCGTATATTTAACTATGCGTCACAAGACTACAAAGTAAACATACAAATTTTACTCATCCAAATTGCGTATTGTATTAAATTTTATTGCGATATGATGTGACTGTAGGCATGTATTCCATATCGATGATTTAAAATAAATAACAATGTAAAACAACAAAACCTTTTGTTTTTATCAGAACTACAGATTAAGATACATGCATTACTTAAGCACCAAAGAATGTATGCTTTTGCTTTATGGCGCCTGCTGATAACTGTAAAAGCAAAAG